TATAGATTTTAAGATATTTCAGTGGATACATTAAAATGGCCTACCCTGTATATACGTGAAGGAGATTTATAAAATAAATATTATTTTGAGGATACTGTGTTTTAATAAAAATTAATAAAAATGAATAGGAGAAAAATTGCAAGAGAAAAGATAATTAAATACTTGATAAAGGATTCTTTATAATATGAATCAAAAAAAGTAAGAGGGAGGATAATGGATTTTACAGAAAGCTCGTATATCAAGAAAATTTGCGAAGTTAACGCGCGCTGCACTAATTTGCTCTCACCTCGAAGGCATTCGATGCTATTATACGATCAATACTGATGACATACTAATTATGTTATACAGCGGTTATAGGCAGATAGAGAGCTAGAAATGTTTGAACTTAATTATACAGAAACATGCAGTAATATCTTGAAATATGTATACAAAAAATATACGTATTCATTTATATTGTCATAGAATATTGTAAATTGGCAGCACTAGATTGTTTTTTAACTTTCTCTCTCTCTCTCTCTCTCTCTCTCTCTCTCTCTCTAAGAAAAAATTGTATCAAAATATTTTAAGAACAGCGCATAATACACGTAAGAAAATTAGAACTTATTCTATCGCGATATATGTACGTTCAAAAGATTTTATCCATGCATAAATCTAGGATTTTGTTCTCAATATACGGAAAAGATTACAACAGAAGAAGAAGATACGACAAATCAAAATTTTATAGTTTAGAATATTACTAAAATTACTGTTAAAAATCTTATATAAAAGCGCCGTTTATCTGTTTAATAAAAGCTAAAAAAATTGACATAATATGGACATAATATAGGAATATTCGGTATTTTAATTTTTATATGTAAATATTTTTCCATTAAATATTTTTTTGTGGAACGCACAGAAAAACGCATTACATAACTCGTAAATTAGTACTCTAATAACAAATGTGACTATAGTTCAAAGTTAAAACTCTCGTTTCTATATTATATCCACTGTATGAAAAATACCCCCCACCCCCCTAATAATAATTGTAAATCTTTACGAAGCAATTAATAAGCGTTTTTAATTAAACGCTACTGACAAGGGGACTAGAAGGTAATAATGTCGACAACAATGAACGTACTAGAGAAAGAAGGACGCGCCGATTTGCAAGTGCGCGCGTATATATGAATGCTAAAGTAAATTGGCGGCATGAAAATGAGATATATTTCTGCGTTTCAAAACTTTTTTATTTTTGATATATATTATTTTAAATCTGTATTTAATTTTTTGCCGATGGAACTTTCAGAGTTTATATAGAAATACGAATTGGTTTTTCACGATCAGCATGTAATTTCGCAAAAACTTGTTAATGAATTCACACGAGTTGGCTTTCAGCGAATGAGTTTCGTAGCGGTCATTTCCTCCGGCAGACCATATCGATCCCATATGCACCTTGAAAGGGTATGCTCTGGCACGTGACAATACGGTGCGTTAATCATACGAATGAATTCCTCTTCACGCTTCGAATTCTGTGACCCACGCGCAAGCGGGTAATGAAATTGCCTGCTCGTGCTTGCGGTACGGTTTGCATTATAACCAGCGGGATTAGGTCTCTCGATGAAAAACAGGAAAAAAAATATATAACCATTCTTAAAATTTCTCGTTATCTGTTTTCGCGGGAACAAAGAATATTCCAGTAATAAGTTTAATAAATGCAAATTTGGCGAATTGGTTACGAGAACCCAATGAAATCAAAAGCAGAGAATAAAGCAACATTATGATTTTAACACATTTTAATCCTGAAATATTTTTTTGTAAAACTAACCTCCGAAACTGAAGCAATATCAAAATGATATGAGGAAACGGAATTTGTATTGCAAAATGTTCAATCACATCTTGTAGAATTCACTCTTTATTGTGCATTCAAAACAGATTCAAGATTATTAGAGTCAAATACTGGAGAAATTTTTTTTAAGCCTTTCAGAAATTAATCAATTTGCTAACTAAAAAAATACCAATGTAATTCACTAATATATTAGCTAATATATTAGCTAAGCATATAATATTTAACTTTTGCAAGTATGTATTCTAAACTGTGTGCACAATGTGTACAAAAACTTCCAGAAATTTCTTTCTACGAATGCATATATTATCGACGATCGATATTAAATCATGGATAAATCGTTGGAAGAAGTGCATTTTAACTTTCTGGTATTGCTTAATGCAATAGCCGTCAGATTTGACGGGAAGCGCTGCGTTCGTTTAACAGGGATTGTCATGTTGTCAATCATCGAAATTAATATCGGACTTTATGTCATGTGGTTCTATTGAGGTTGGCTAAAAGATGATCATCGATCACAAAAAGTGTTTCGAGTTATTTATAATTTTACGATATAACGTCACAGAAATGTAACATATTTTTAGACAATATGTAAATAAGTGCATGCGATAGATATAGGGAAGCCGACGCGCACGTGAAAAATTATGTTTTGCTCGAGTAATCAAATAACGTTGATCACTTCGTGATAATCGAGCACCTGCAAGATTACTAACAGCTTTCACATAATCACTATGTAAAGCTATGCAATTCTTTATCTAGGATTAAACTCTTTATACCTCCAATTAAATGCGATTTCATTACGAGGTAATGTTTAATTGCTCTCCATTATCGTTTTATAATGAATAATTTCCTTCTGTTCTTCTTTTCTCCTTTTTTTCTCTTAAGCATATCTGTTTGTGGTGTACAACCGTCGTTGTCGTCATTTAAGTAGATAAAGACATTATATGGCGCGGCTTGTTATAGATTTCAGATTACGATTTAAGCCAATTTTGCTTCATAACTCTTACTTTTTACATTGACTCTGCTTTTGGAATTATATTTTTTATTGCTATAAAAGATTATATTTGATCTGGTATCTTCTATTTAATACTATGCTGATTGTGTGTAATATACAATACTTCTGTAATAGTAGATATACAATAGCTACAAAATAATGTAGTATCTTTTATTGTTGCAAAATCCGTAAAAATATAGTAAGCAGAAAATTTTTTGTAATTGTAACAAATATTGTGTGTCATATGCGCAAATTAATTCGCTTGATTAAAGGCGATATTGGGCATTTATATCGTCATCGTAAATATGATTGTGTCATTATAATATAATTAGGAAAATAGATTACGAGAGTAATGTACGAGACAAATAATAACAAATTACTATATTTATATTGGATTGAACGGAAAGCTCATGCCGTTTTTTCGATCATTTGTTAGCAAAAAACGATACAAACTTTTCGTTCAATCCAATATATATTTGATTAACGAATTATATTAATAATTGTCATATGATGTTTTGGAATATAATTCCAAAACATCATATGACAAAAATTAATGAAATTATTATGATTATTGGAAAATGGCAATTTTCTCTAAAATTCTAAAAATCCGTTTCAACAAAGCTCGCGCCAAGCTTTTCGTTATTTATTAACAATAAGTGAAAGGAATTCGAAACCAATCGCGAGTATATATAATTAAGATTTTAATAATATATTCTCAATTTATTATTATCGCAGAAAATTGCAGAAAACTGTATTATTTTAAAGTAATAATAAGATAAAAATAAGATAATTAGAATTTATATGTTCTCTGGAGCTTAAAAATCAAATATTTTTAAAAAACCCCCAATAATGTACGAAAATCTTTTTTATTTCTTTATCTCCCGATTTTTCCTGTGCTATTATAAAGTAAAGAATTCTGTCTTTTTATTTTAGGATTAGTAAAGCTCGGCGTACATTGTGTGTTGGGTAAAAAGGTGGCAATCAAGATTATCAATCGTGAAAAGCTTTCGGAGTCTGTGTTGATGAAAGTGGAGCGCGAAATCGCAATCATGAAACTGATCGACCATCCGCACGTGCTCGGCCTCTCGGATGTATACGAAAACAAGAAATATCTGTAAGTTATCAATAAAAGTAATTTTGAAAAACTTTTTTTTTTATTTGTATTTTTGAAAAGAACAAATAAATTTTTTTTTGCAAATGATGCAAAAATGTCATACTTTGAAAATTCTTTTAAGATATCTTGTCCTGGAACACGTCTCGGGCGGGGAACTGTTCGATTACTTGGTGAAGAAGGGTAGACTGACTCCAAAAGAAGCAAGAAGATTTTTCCGACAAATAATTTCCGCATTAGACTTTTGCCACAGCCATAGTATATGGTAAGCCGCGTATACCGTCACATATTATATAATAGCTCTTATTTGCCAGTTTTTCCATTTAATTATATAATAGTCTCTTTTTCTATTTGTATTATAATCATCTTTTTGTTCTTGACAATATATATGATGTACGAGTTTTATTTTTCCGTCATTTTTACAGTCATAGAGATTTAAAACCTGAAAACTTATTACTGGATGAAAAAAATAATATTAAGATAGCGGATTTTGGGATGGCATCCTTACAACCCGCGGGCTCTATGCTGGAGACTAGTTGTGGATCCCCTCATTACGCCTGTCCCGAAGTCATTAGAGTAAGAGCTTCTATTATAATTAATTTTCTCGATAATAATTAGTCAATATCAAATTACAAGAATAATAAATTAAACGAGTAATAGCTAAACATATTTGAGATTGATGTACGTAAAATCATTTGTTGCTAATCTTTTTTCGCAGGGTGAGAAGTATGATGGTAGAAAAGCAGATGTATGGTCCTGTGGGGTAATACTTTACGCGCTTCTGGTAGGCGCTTTACCTTTCGACGATGACAATCTGAGAAAACTACTAGAGAAAGTTAAACGTGGACTGTTTTACATACCGCATTTCGTGCCGCCTGAGTGTCAGAATTTGCTCAGGGGTATGATAGAAGTTGATCCTGAAAAAAGACTAACGGTAAGACGCTTTATATCCCTTTTTGCTTCCTCATAGAGGAAGCTTTGTTTTCGTGACAAATTTTTTTTTCGAGTTTTTAATGCCAATGTGTTCAGAATGTTCGAAAATGTCGAAAAATCATATTCCTAAAAAATGTATGTATTGGTTCCTCATAGAGGAAGCTTTGTTTTCGTGACAAAATTTTTTTTCGAACTTTTAATGCCAATGTGTTCAGAATGTTCGAAAACGTCGAAAAATCATATTCCTAAAAAATGTATGTATGTATGTATGTATGTGTGTGTGTGTATGTACGCGATTTGTTGTGCAACTGCTAACTTTCGCAATTTTTGAGATATCTAGTTAAATTTTTTTTACATGGATAGAATATTATTAAAGAATGGTTGGTATTGAATTTGGTGAGAATATGCTTAAATGAGCTTAAACTTTGTGAGATAAAATGATGAGGAAGCAATGTGCAAGTTTCTAATTTGCACAATTCAGCTTGTGTATGTATGTATGTATGTATGTGTGTGTGTATGCGATTTGTTGTGCAACCGCTAACTTCCGCAATTTTTGAGATATCTAGTTAAATTTTTTTACATGGATAGAATATTATTAAAGGATGGTTGGTATGGAATTTGATGAGAATCGGTGAAAGGGTTCATTTTGCTTCCTCATAGAGGAAGCTTTGTTTTCGTGACAAAATTTTATATTTATCAATATTTATCAATGTTTCTCGTGTTCTTTTTTTTATAATATTTTTTTTTTATAATAAAGTTAATTAAGTGTTTTTTAAATAAGTTTTTATATTTCTGAAAATGTATAATCTATAATGTAAATGTATAATCTATAACGATTATATAAAAATAAAAAAAGTGTGTAAATTAGAAAATAGCATATTGCTTCTTTATCTTTTTATTTTGCTCACAAAGCTTTCTCTATGAGGAAGCAAAAATTGAAAAATCCGCATGCTTAAAGGAACTTAAACTTTGTGAGATAAAATGATGAGGAAGCAATGTGCAAGTTTCTAATTTGCACAATTCAGCTTGTTTCAGATTGTGAAACATCTTTTAAAAACATATATTAAAGCTATTAAATATATTTACTAATATTGAAACATTTTCTAAATAAAATTTAATGTTATTTCTTTTTAGTTAGCGGAAATAAATAGACATATCTGGGTAACGGCGGCGGGTAAGGGTGAATTGGAATTGGAGTTGTCGATGATGGATGTAGTGCAAACGCATGTTATTCCGTCCGTGGATGCAATCGATCCCGACGTGCTACAAGCGATCGCGAGTCTTGGTTGTTTCAAAGAGCGCGATAAACTCATTCAGGAACTGCTCAGTCCAAAGTAAGATGATTCCACTCTGGTAGAAAGACATTATATTCCACTTCAATCTATCTAAGTTCTGTTGGAAATGTATCGTGAAAAATAACTCCACAAAATAAATAAAAAATTTCCCCTTTAGCCACAACACAGAAAAGGTGATATATTTTCTGTTGCTGGAGAGAAAGCGAAGAAGACCGGCGTGCGAGGACGAGCTCGAAGTAATGAGGGGAGGCATGAGATCCGCAGGACAATTAGAAGCTGATCCACCGAGAAAACGAGTGGATACATGTAGAGTGAACGGAAGCACCGCGCTCAATCTTGGACAAATCAGTCACGGATCACCTTTGACGCCTAGAAGACAGTCTAGGTAAACTCGCATAAATTTGAATAGAAAGAATGATAATGATAATAATGTTATGACAAAAATCATTTTTATCCTTCTTTATCATGAAATTTTATGGTGGAAGATGAGCTTTGTAATCAATCTTGCATTTTGCGGATAAAAGTTATGTGCTTAACGAAAGAGTTTTGCAACGTCAAGCAGCTACGGTTCATTTCAAATTGGCATCACCATCACGTGATAGCATCAGTTATGTATGTCGCGTGTTTCGTATCATATATGTTTTCATCGTGTCGCTTTTTTACTTTCTTCGTCAGATCTAAACATTGCGCAGGTAATTAACTCCCACATCATGTTCGCAAGCTTGAGCTCCTTTATACAGGATGTCTGGTAAAGATTGTGCCAACGCTCGGGTAGAACACAGTAAACTGAACAGAAAAGTTCTTTACCATTTTATGATTTTTGTAATAATTATTGAGAAATTAATTAAAAAAGATCGACAAATTCATATGAGTATAAGCGCGTATGAGTAAAAAGGAACAACCCATTGATGTGTGGTTGCTAGGACGCGAGAATCCATCGTTATGTACCGTTCGTACGTAACCGTTGTCATTTGTAAAGCGCTCCTCCCAAAATTTCCTCGCGCGCCTAGCGATCGCAAACTTTTGGAATGTCTCTGGACCGTTCTTTCTCGCCGCGCGCTTATAGTCACGCGAATTGGTCAATCTTGTTTAATTAATTTTTCAATTATTACGAAAATCGCAAAATGGTACAGGACTTTTCTGTTTAGTTTACTGTGCTCTATTTGCTCACGAGTGTTGGCACAATCTTTACCAGAAACTCTGTATAAAACGCAACTCGAATTACATTTCGATTCTTTCATTTCGTCCCATTAATACTAATGGAAATATCAATTAAAGTATTTAACTTTATTATGGTTTAATTCAAATAATTTGTTACTTCGTTAATTGCATTTCTAATTTTCTTGTTGCAGTACGAGACACCATGCGCGTCGATCACCAAGCACAGGCGGGTGCCACATTCATAGCTCTCATTCGCATACGTCAACGCCGGGTAGCTCACCATTGCACGCGCCTGCAGGTCTATTGAGTCCCCACAGAGCGGTACCGATATCACATGTGGGCCAAACGGTTACCAGTAGTCCACACAGATTGTCCATCGGCAGCAGTACCACTACTACCGCGGGAAATGGCAGTCCCACGAGTCAGAGTGTACCGACGCCAGCGTCAGCGTCGGCGCTCACTAGTGTCGGCATTGAACTTAACGAGATGCAACCTGGTGAGTTTATTAGTATTACAGATTATGTCTTATATTTATCCTTATTTTGCAAGAATACTTTTATTTCTATGAGTCCTAACATTATCAATAATATTGATAACCTTGTCAATAACATTGTCTGTATTGTTAATACTTTCGTATCCTTATATTTTTAATTTGCTTGGTTTTAATACTTTTTGATGATGTCTATTATTTTACATTTGCTACTGGATTACGCCAGTATAAAAGAAAAATGTCAATACCACATGATCAAAACAGCATTTTTATTTTATTTATGTACGTTGAAGGAATAGGACTAAAAAATATTATAGAATTAGGGAAATTTTTCTTATTTTTAACAAAAATAAAGAATACGGAATTTTATTGACTATATATATTGTGCTTTTTCTTAATTAATTCCACTTTGTACACATTGTAAATGTATATTTTGTATATATTGTAAATGTGTATTTTGTACACATTGTAAATATATGTGTGTTTGTGTGTATGTGAGTATGTAATGGCTATGTTGTACAATATAAATAATAATTACTTAAGTTAATTGCGCTACTTTTACAGGTCATGGTAAATGTTGACATTAACTTACTTACTTCATGGATCACTTTCTTTTTGGCATATATTATATAGAGTGTAAATAATATATCCTTTATGTGTGTGTGTGAATTACGTGACACTTTCTTTTTGTTTCTGAGATATGCGACTTCGAAATATTGTAAAAATAAAATTTTCGGGAATTTAATCCCAATGACCTTGACCTTGACGTATATATGTTTTCAAGATCATAATTCTCAATAACTTTGAATAGGTTTTCGCATCATTATTAAGCATTCATTCATTAAGAGTTACTCATATATTATTAAGCATTTATTTAGAGAAATATTAAATATCTAAGTATAACAAAATTATTTATTTCAAACTTTCGTGCGGAAAGTTTCAAACCATATGTTTTATATAGTTTTACTTTATCGAGAGATAAACGCGCGGGCGAAGAAGAGGCAGAACCCCTCTTCCTGCACGCCCATCCAAAAAAAACTAACCTAATCCAATTTCTGATTTTAAATTGAGATTAGGTTTGAGTTATATTAGCTCTTTTCGGGATGAGAGTGCAGGGAAAGGGGCTAGGCCCCTCCTCCGCCCACGCGTTTATTTAAATATTTATTTTTTAATTTTAATGAATACTTAAATAAGTTCAGGTTAATTTAGGTAAAATAATAAAAATATTAAAAAATAAAACAGTACGTAATTTTTCATATTTTATTAAATAATAATAACATAGTGACAAGCAAATGTAAATAAAAAGTAATTCTTAACGAAACTAAACAATAATCTGGAAGCGTATTGATAGTGACATAATAACGAACAAATGTAAATAAAAAAATATAAACACACAAGTAGGATATAATGAGAAGTGACAAGTACGGAAACTTATAATACTTCTCAAAATCGCATATCTTAGGAACCAAAAAAGAGAGCACTACATAATTTAAAGCGTGTATTACACTTAGGATTCCACTCTCTATAATTTATGTCAAAAAAGTGATCTCTCCCCGTAAGGGGTAAGTTAATGTCAATATTTACCAAGATTATTACCAAGTCTGTGGCAGATCATATTATGCTAAATGTTCCTGTTTATCGTATTTTTAAAAAAAGGTTAAAAAAAGGCGCAAGGACACGTGCCACTTGTGAAAAACTATATTTATATATATTTATAAAATAGTGTTATTTTAAATTATTGAAGATAAAAACTTATAAAAATATTTTAACCAAAAAAAAAATTATACAAATATATCTTACTGTTACGTCCAGACTCGAGGAAGGATGAGTCAGTGGAAGGGCGCAACCACTATCTTTATGATCCCGAAGTTAAACGTCTCGAAGCGTTAGAATCGGGTCGAACGAACTTGACGGTCCGAAAATCAGGTAAACGACCAACACTATTTTATAAATATATATAAATATAGTTTTTCACAAATGGCGCGTGTACTTGGCGCCTTTTTTTACCTTTTTTTAAACAGGTAAGTTTTTAGGGATCTCATTCTTTTTTGTAGTATAAGTTAACATCTTTAAATAAATACAAATATACGATAGTATTATTAACAATAATAAATTTGTATCAAATCTATACAGAGCCAAATAAATCGAAAAGGTTTCGTAAATATTCTTTAGGTAAAAAGTTACTCGGAATTATGTCCTTAACAACATATATCAAGGTCAAAGTCATCGGAGCTGGGTCCCCTTTTCGCTATATTTACCGTTTCTTTCTTTACACTAATGGATTTGTCTCATTATTCTGTACATAAAAGTATTACGGTAAGATTATCGAAAACTAAATATTTTACGAGATATTTTATTTTTTATATCAAAATATGTCAGAATAAAATATAAAATAACTCAAAAAGTACTTAATGAAAAAATACTTTATTATAGTGTTTTGAAAAGCTCTCAAGATAAGCTACAAGAATATGCAATAAAAAGTAGGCAGTTCCATTTAAAAAATTGAAGGTGACCTTCACGTGACCTTCAAGCAACTAAAAAAAAATGGGTGGTTCCGTTTAAGAAAACATCGATCCTATTGACTTGGCCTTAAAAAGGTCATTTAAGGTCAAGTCCATATTTTCATCATGTGTACCCCTGTGAATCATACAACTTTTGTCTAAAACATTTTTGTCTTAAGCTTATAGATTTTAAGATATTTCAGTGGATACATTAAAATGGCCTACCCTGTATATATAGCATTATTATTCGTACTCATGTCTAAGCATGCATACACGCACGCACATGCACAACAGCGTATTACGCGAAAAAAGAAGAGAAAGAGAAAGAACACAGGAATTAACGAAAGAGAGCGAGAAGTAACGAAACAGAAAGAATGATATATTTATTGATATTTATTACCGACAGTAATAAAAACGGTAATTGTGCTTGCAATACAGTATTATGCATTATCGATAACGACTAACGCCATCTTGCATGTAAAGTTAGAAAAGTACATTTTAATGTGGTCGACTACATCGTCGACGTTTCTTAAGTGAAAATTTCATGTTTCGAAGTTTGCATTGCAATTTCTCTGCTCATAAAACAATTAAAGCTGAACTATTAAAGATGAAAACGATAATTGAGGTACTCTGAACTAGCCGACTCGCGTATAGATACCCGGAGTGCTTCGCTGTTGCTACGCGTGACTTGGCGCGAGACACCATCGTGTCTCTTGATAAAATTTCAGAATCTCGATGCAATCATGCAGATTTTAGCATCTCCGATATTACGTCTTATCATATCACACAAACGTTGTTTCTGTGATTTATATATAAAATTTGCATTGTAATTAAACAAAATTGCATAATTGTATTTTACGTGATAGTTCTACCTTTTTTTCAATTAATAATCGTACAATAACGATCGTATCTATAAAAATTTGAAAAAATAAATAATTAATTACAAAAGGAATAGGTTCGACTATCACGTATTATTTTAATGTGTTTAAGATAAGCCAAATATATGTTTCCAAAACGTTGCTTGTTTTGCAATAGTTGCAGTTGGTATTACACCGCCGGGATCGCCTCACACAGGAGCAGGATCTGGAGCTCATCACTGGAGATCGAGATTGACCACGATCAAGAATTCTTTTCTAGGCAGTCCCAGATTTCATCGTCGTAAATTGCTCACTAGTACCGAGGAGGTATGTAATAATAGATAATAAACATCTAATTAATTTCTTTTTTTTATAATTTATACATTATAACGTTATGTCTCAATCATAATATAATGATTATTTGCAACAATTGAATTTTAGATGAGCTTAATATAATCCAGTTGTCTTAATACAATTTAAAAATCAATAAATATTTTTATATACAGCGAAATTCTGTCGAAGATCAGTTAAGAACTTTAGTGAAATGTAACGGATGAATTATAACAATTCTGTTATATTTATCAGAATAGATTATTTCTTGGACTTAAAATTTAACGAGCACTAAAAATATATAAAGTGTATATAAAATATCAAATTAATTTTATTCATATATCTCAGGAGGAATCACAAAGTAAGCTTCCTACTGCATATAGGTACACCTCACACCTGATTCCTCTCCGGAACTAACAAAGAAATCATGGTTTGGTAGTTTGATGACTACAGAAAAAGATGAGACCTTTACCGTCCTGGTTAAGGGAAAACCGCTGGCCAGTGTCAAGGCCGATCTGATCCATGCTTTCTTATCGGTAAGTATATCGAGATTATCACTTCGATCAAAGTTTGATTAATGTAATCAAAATTTATTTAATTCTAGAGTACATATAAAATAGCCTATAGCAAAATTTTAAATTATATATTCATCGATTCTAATCTAATCTTTTTCTCGACAAGTCAGATAATAAACAATTAATAATAATTTTGGAGTAATTCTGAATTAATAAAATGCATTACTTGATAAATCACTCGTTAATCGCCGATTAAATCAATTGGAGTTTGGTCAAAGCAACGCTCATTGTCTAAATAATCTTTAATCTCGAATAAAGCTTATTAACCATTTGGGAATAATTCTTGGAAGTAAAAAAAGGGAAGACTGATAGCTATTCTTATCTATCTAAGAGAGAAAAATAATTTTTACATTTGTGAAAACATCTGCAATGCAAACGGAACGAATTAATTAGCATACTTTTTAAAAAATGCGAAATTTTATTTCCATAAAAAATTATAATATACAAAAAATTTAAAGAAACTTTATGATACAAAATCTTTAAAATTTTAGACTAATCTTTATTAGAATTTTTGCTGAATCAGAATAAAATTCTCTATACTGTAAAATCTCTCGAAAATTCCATGTTATTGTACATTGAATTATTTTTGATATAATAACTATATGTATAATATTTAGATAGCAACTATTAGAGATAGATAAAATTATAATATTTAAATAAAATTATAATATTTAGATAATAACTTTTAGAGATAAATAAAATTGTTTGAGTTAATATTAAAAAATGTATTACGTATTTTATTTATTTTATTGTGTACAATATTTTTTTTGGTCCACTAGATCCATTTCTATAATTGTCCACCGTTATTCTCAATAGCATCTCCCCAAGTGGACATTAGCCATAAAAATTTTGCGATTTGCGATATAAATTGACCGATCTCGTTTAATTTATGAGAGCTAATATATCTGCTAAACTTCTTTAATATTTTTAATATGTTTTAATATTTTACTCTGGAACAAATTCTTATATACTTGTGCAGATAGCAGAATTATCTCACAGTGTGAGCTCACCGATGTCGTTCAGAGTGGAATACAAGAGAGGTAGCACTGCACCTGTCATGTTTCAAAGACAAGTGCGATTTCAAGTTGATATTAGCGCGATCTCGAAGCAACCAAACGAGCCTCTCTTCGCTATCACGTTCACATTATTGAGCGGTAAGTACACAGCCTTTTTTATAATATCGTTTTTGCAATTTTCTTTTCCAATTAAAAATATTGTTCTTTAAATTGAATATAACACAGAAATGTAAATAAGCTAAAAGTTTAGACTAATCTTTAGTTAGTTTAAACTTTTAGATTCTTTAAAGAGAGATACATAGCCTTCGCAAAAATACGCAGTAAACTAGACAGATTGTTAGAAATATTTTACTATTCGGCGTTTGGCAGTCATCCAAGCGCAACCAAATCGATGCTATCCTTGGCTCAGTTCATATACATATAATCTTACATCTTATCTGCACATATATATTCTACGCTTAAGTCTCGCTACGATATGTCCACGAATTCTTCTGACGAATTATTCAACTTCATGTGGCCGACGAGAATAAACTGTATTTACTTTGCTCATAAATTCGACTTGTCAGGATCTTATTTATAATTTTATTTACAATAATGATTTATATTCTTTATAATATGAAATCCAATTATATTTTAAGAAGCAAAAATAATCTTTACTTCATACGCGATTTAAATGCTGATTTTTGAGGGAGAGAGAAAAGAAAGAGAGAGAAATAATATTATTCTTTGTTTGATAATATATAGATATATCTTAGAACATATACACATATAATTCACATACATATGTACAATCACGCACACGCGCGTATACACACATATACATAGACATACGAGTGGTCTACAAAATGCTTTAGTAGATATGTAGATTATCACTTGTTATCTCATGTTCAAAAGTGATGCAAAATTAGAAATAAAGGGTTCATCTTATGAAGATGGTAGACACAAACATGCTCCTAAATCATTATGGACGCTGTTGGAGAGGATGCCTTCCAGAAGGCATATTTAAACGACAAATACTTAAACAAATAAATGCCTGGAATCAAACCCGGGATCGCGGAATCCTCGGGATCGAGCGGACCGATTAAGTCAGACGCTCACTATAATGAAGTCACGTATCACTTCTGAACACGCATTTCTTGTTTTATTCTATATTTTGTTGCTTTTATAGAAGTTAAGGATTCAAACATAGTTTCGTATTAGCTTATCAGATTCCTTACTCTTACTTCTCGAGTTCTAAAAACTCCATGTCTTCAAGATTCTACATCTTTTGCACATTAGTACCAGGCAATGACACAAAATATCTGTCTTCTTTTGGATTTCTGTAAAGACTGCAATTGAAACCCAAATTGTGTAGATGAGTTCTTAGAACTGTGCGTGGTCTATTATAAAAGCTTCAGTACTTTTTATTATCTTAAAGATTGGTCTGTTAATTAATAGGAGTTATTTAGCTCGATTGAATAATAAATGTTTGAATATTTTTTTTTTCACTGCCAAAGGTATGTCAACCTAGATTTTTCAGCCTTGATTCGCGTCTTGGCTAGATCATCTGCTATTTTGTTTCTATTTTATACCTTTTGATATTCATGCTAACGTGATTTTATTATGGAAAGTTTCTCTTCCTCTCCTTCTACCTTGCTAATCTATTAAGTTTTCAAATGCAGTCTTATATATCAAGAATAATCCTATAATTACTTTAACAAACAGTCTTATAATCCTACTGTATAAATAAATGTAAATTTTTCTCTTCTTAACATTTTTAGGCAAAAAGAATTTTATATACTTCAAGATAGCCAATACCCCTTGGCTTGAGACATAGTGACCTAATAACTACCCATGAAAAATTTTCTCTATAGTATGCTTTTAGTGTGTAAATTCCTGCTCTAAAACAGTTATTTGATCCAGGTATATCCGTTAAAAATCCGCATTTGGGTCAATAATGAGTATTGACTTGCATTAATTTGTATGCCATGAACCCTTACAATAACAGCTACTTTCAGAGGATTATTTTTAGTGCTTCTGTTGGTATAATTCTCGTAGTTTGTCGTAATCTTTAAGTAGCTACTTTGAAAACTTTTCAATAAGTTCTTTGTTTCCATCCATTTTAGATTATCAGACCGCCAAACACTTTAAGTAACAAACTGCTTTGTATAATCATAAGACTACTATAAATTTCCATATTTTATCTATAAGCTTTTTATACATCTTTATAAAGATGTAAAAATCTTTCTTCCTTTCTGCAAAGTATTGTCTTCAATTTCAGTTTTGTGTCTGAAATGGTTCTCAAGCATTACGCTGTAAAAGTTAGTTCTTTCCAGAACTTCAACGATTCAATGAATTCTAATTTTTATTTTATGAAGACTGTGACATCTTTAATGGATTCACCAATGAACCTTTAGGGCTATCGCACACAAATTGACATAACTGCATATGCATAGCGTAAGACTTCCTGAATCAATGAGCATTTTATGTAAATCAATATGGTGATTTAATGCTCGATGCTCATTGGCCGGTTTTATGCTATGTATATGTAGCCATGTCAATTTGTGTGCGATAGCTTAGTCTTGCACCAACTTTGTATGTACTTTTCAGACTTGTTCCCATATGCGATTTCAAAATTTTCTACTTTTTAAATTTAAAAATAACATCATAAATGTAAGGTAGGTAAATAATTTGATTATTAGTTTTAATAACTATAACAAAAAACACACGGGTTTTAGTAAGTCTTCCTTTCTGATTACTGATTATCGATTTTAACTCAAATTTGATTGTAACAACAAATATTGCGTATGTCAAGTTTTAAAATATCAATGTAATCTTTAATATTTATATCTATGCTAAAGATAGACCAAAAAACGATCTAAAACGTACATTTTTAATACACATTTATTACTAAAATGTAACAATAATAAGTTCACATACCAATATTCGCGCCGTGATTCTTATTTGTCAGTTTTCCTATTTAATTGTTAGTACTCTGAGCCTATTGCCGTTATTATTTATTGTTCTATTTTACTGCGGAATACATGCGTAGGTGGGGAAGATGCTTCTCCCCTCCCCCTACTCCTCCCCCTCCGATAAAATTCTAACCTAATCCAAACCTAATTTTTATTTAAAAAATAAATTAGTTTGAATTAGGCTAGCATTTTTTTGAAATGAAGATATAGATCGAGGCGGAGCTCTTTTCCTGCCTATGCATCTAATTTACAATAAAATATTTCTTTTTCCATTCAAAAACTCGTGTTGTTGCATGTCGAAAACTGTTTAAGAACTGGCAGAAATAGTTGAAATCTGTTGATATACAGCGTGGTCCTGAAATAGTTGGTCAAAATCAGGAATTGGATTGAGCTCGTTATAAGATGAAAAAAGTTCCCATAAGCGTTAGTCTAAAAACGCATCCTTCAGGAGTTACGACTCATTTAATTATCAATTTCAAAGAATAAATATTTTCAAAGTTTTGATTGTACTTACTATGAATTGTGCTGTTTTAATTAATGTGTTTGAGAAGACAAAAATCCACATATTATTATCCAATCTCGACATCAACAAAAATTTTCCTTAAATGTCTGGGCTAGCATCATAGAAAATAAATTAATTGATCCATACTTTTTGCCACCCACTCTCAACATGGGGGCAGCTAAAGACTCTTATGTAACTCCGATCAATAATGTAGAGGAATTACGATATCAATAGCTGCGAAATTATAAGATGTACGCCAGGAATCTTTGAGCGTGTTAGACAGTCAATGATTAGACAAATGGGAGCATGTGTTTTAGTTAACGGTGGACATTTTCAACAACTTCTGTAAATAAAAATAAAGTTTTTTCCTTTCATTTTTCTGAATCAGGTATTAATAATTAAATGAGTCATAACTCCTGAAGGATGTGTTTTTGGACTAACGTTTATGAGAACCTTTTTCATCTTTATGACGAGCCCAATCCAATTCCTGATTTTGACCAACTATTTCAGGACCACCCTGTATAATATATGCTATGCAATAGTGTAATAGTCATACTGAAGACAAAAGAGGTAGCACATACAAACAAAATATGTCAGCAAAGAGGCATGAATAAAACAAACTTCGAAAGATTGAATATTATCAGGAATAAAAATGCATTACTTTAAAGTGTCGTATCTTAGAAAGTAGAGGAGACCAAATGATTCAAACTATATTTTAGGATGTATTTTAGGACTCCCTCGACTATAATATATATGTATATGTGAAAAATCAAATGGATCGGTGAATTGTAATCTTTTTGCAATAATTATCAAAGAATTTTCCTTGCATCATATTCATCTTTCGAGATTTATTCAAATTATGTTTGAAATATTTTTTCATATTGTCAGAAATAAAGAGATAATTAGTATTGTGTTCTATTTCTAATGAGACATCCTGTAGAGACACACATATTTTAAGTATAATTAACTTAAATTTCCCAATAATGTTAAAGTTATTAGAAACAAAAAAATGTTTTGAAATAAAAAAGTAAATAAACATATATTTCTTGTGTGTGTGTGTGTGTATATATATATATATATATATATATATATATATATATATATATATGATCAATGTGATCGATATTTTCTTAAATGGAACCCCCCCTTTTTATTGCATATTCTTGTAGCTTATCTCGAGAGCTTTTCAAAACACTATAATAAAGTATTTTTTCATTACTAATTGATTTGTTTCATTATTCTGTACATAAAAGTATTTTGGTAAGATTATCGAAAACTAAATATTTTATAACATATTTTATTTTTTATATCAAAATAAGTCAGATTAAAATATAAAATAACTCAAAAAGTACTTAATAAAAAAATACTTTATTATAGTGTTTTGAAAAGCTCTCGAGATAAGCTAAAAGAATATGCAATAAAAAGTGGGGGTTCCGTTTAAGAAAACATCGATCACATTAAACTCACCTTGAAAAGGTCACTCAAGGTCAAGTTCATATTTTTATCATGTGGCCCCCTCGAAATCATGCAACTTTTGTCTGAAACATTTTTTCCAATCTTTTTTACTTTAAGAGATATTCAGCTGCATCACTTAAAATGATACACCCTGTATAATAAATATACAGGGTGAAAAAGTTCATATAAACATATGTCCGATATGACCTTGTTTTTAAATTATAGCTTGTTTTATTTTCGAATAGAGTTAAGATAGCCTACTTGGATATCGATTTGCTGTTTATGTACAAGATTTAAAGGACTTAAGGTCTTGTTAATTTGTAAACATAAACGCGTATTTGTATTGTAAGTAGTACGGTTCGTATCTTGTGCTCAGTGAAGTTTTAAAAAAATTATGGCTTGGTCAAACAATTAAATAGCAGACATACATCTCATATACGGATTTTCCGATGGTAATGCAATCAGAATTAGACTTTTGTATGCGGAAAAGTTGGAAATATTGGAAAATAAAACAGGCTGTAACTCGGAAACAAGGTCATATCGGACATATGTTTATAGTTTACATGAACTTTTTCTCTTATTTTTGTGTCCTGAATCTCTCATTGCAATACTTCCCACTTTTTAGGATACACCCTGTATAATTTCACATCTGGTGTGATAACAAAACATTTTCGGAGTAATGTTTATATAACATTATTTTCTGCTTCTTTTTATCCATGAAGCATATTAGCAAAATTTTATCTTTTTACTTTGCAACTCTCTCTCTCTCTCTCTCCCTTTCCCTCTCCCCAGCCCTCTCCTTCTTCCTCCCCCTCTCCCTCCCACTCCATCCCCTTCTCTCTCCCTCCCTCCCTCTTTCCC